AGTTGCTCCCCTATACTCATTGATTCTACATCTTTGGATTTAATCAACTATGCTTCAAAATTTTTTAAATAAATTTCACATATTTTGAAAATTTTGAATTTGAAATATTTGAATAAAAACAAAGGGTAATTTTTACAATGAAAATAATACAAATAAGAACTATAGCACACCAACTATTTACACAGTATTGACATGTCATTGGGCACTAAAAGTAATCTAGAGATGATTTAAATGCATAGGAGGATGTGTGTGGCTTGTATACAAATGCTACAATGTTTTCTAGAGGGGACAAGCATCTATATATTTTGACATCTTCAGAGAAGTGGAAAAAAATTGAAATCAATTTCCTGTTTACACCAAGTAATGATTGTACTTGTGAATGTGTAGATTTATGTACAGCCATGTTACAAATTGTGTTTGTGAGTGTATTTGTATATATCATCACATGTACATGTCTCTCTGTCCTAAGTAGTAGATTCCAGTGTGTGTTTATGTGTTTTATCGAGACACAGTTCACAACACCATGGTCTCTGCAGCCATCTGCCTGCCTTCCAATCTCAAGTGTCTTAAATGAATTATTAAACTAACCTAACTTCTATGGCTCTTGCCTCCTGTTTCTTGCCTAAGTTTTCTCACTTTTTCCAAAAAAGACTAACAGGTGTTTGGACTCAAAGTACATTAGTAAGTACTGACAACTTAGCATAGTGATGTGGAGCAAATATGATTTCAGTAAGTGCCAGATTTAGCACCTTTGCGTGACTGTGCACTTCTCTATGTGCCTTCAGCTCTGTTGTGTCATGCATATATCTGATACTGTGTTTGGGTACCGTGGCTTGGCTGATGACTGCCCATGACTAACGAGGCCAGGTCCCAGGAAACCATGCAAGTAGACTGTTCTGAGCTCTAGTTTCCCAAAGCTCTATACAAAACTGTTCTAGGTACCTTCTTCATCAGTAGAAACTTCTTGTTTCCTCTCTGTAGATTTGATGGTGGAAGTCGTCCACCTTTGAATGCAGAATGAAGCTGACTGAGTGTGCCGATGCTCTGCCTTTCGCCTCCCTATGTATCTCTCAGTCATTTGCCATACAACCTCCCCAGGGTTGCCTTTCAACAAAGGTGACTCACCAGGCCCCACCACAGGGCATCTGCATAGGTCTCAAACTCCTCTTTCATCTCCTCTCCTTGTGCGTCCACCTCTGGCACATCCTTCTCCACCAGGTAGACAAGAAATGAAGAAAGGATGAGTGTCAGGAAGCCGATGTACCAGGCAGTGATGAGTTCCTGGAACAGCAAACAACAGAGGGAATTGGTGGGAAGCCCTCAGATGGAAGCTTGAGCTAGGCAGTCTGGAATTGGAGTCCATGTTTACCAGCTTTCTTCTCTGAGTCTCATCCCTCATCAGTGAAAAACAGGACCAAGATTATGAACAATTTCCATCAACTACTAGAATGTTGTAGGCTCTAGGAGAAGAGGAAAACTCCATTCCAGGTGACCTGATGTCACAACCCAGGAGGCTTCATAGGAAGGTGAGTGATCAGGAGAAACTGGTTATTGTCAGAGACCAGCTCAGAGTTTGGGAGACTTCATGTGTTACAGAACTGTACCCAGCAGGGCAAAAGCTCAACTCCATGTGCAGATTAGTGGCAAAATGCAGGTAATATGACCCAGAAGACAAAGTCACGGACAGGGACACATTCCTGCCAACATTTCACTGTATGATCCAAGGGAGAACCACACTTTCTTATCTCTGTGTAAGATCCTAACTTTCAAAATTAATAAAGAAAAAACAAACAAACAAACAATCAAAAACTAGGCCAAAAGAGTCCTGTAGGTGTTCTGGATTTCAACAGTGGAATTCAGACAAACTATTATTATGTTAAATGACCTTGCATATCAGAATATATGAAAAGGAAAACATAAGAGACATATGAGACCTGTGATTTCATGGATACTGTCACACAATAAGATGTAAACAAGGACAAGTGTTAAAAGAAAACACGATTGTAAGGAGCATAGAGGGGTGGCAAAGACAAGCCCATCCCTGGACTTTCAAAAGCCCTGGATGGATGGAGATGATGATCTCTGGGGGGTCTTTGTTGCTTTAAGTCCTCCGAGGTTCTCCCATCAAGGTTCAGCATGATGGAGCGGATGAGTCACAACAACGGGTGGACATGATCTGGATGTAAAGTTTGTGTTCTTGCTGAGGCATCTCAGAGAGATGTCATTGGCACAGCTGTCCTTCCTGGAGTGGTCCACTGCCAGCCTGCTGCCTTTAGACAGGAGAGTTTCACGGACAGGTTGCCTCTCTTATCACCTTGGCTCACAGAGTCCCTGCTGCCCATACTACCCCGTCTGCAGAGCCAGATGAAGAGCCCCCAGTCATCAACATTCACCCATAACCTTCATTGTGATATTTTCCAGGATCATTTTATCCCACTAGAGAGTGTTGTGAACTGAATGGGAACTAACCTTCGTAGGCTTAGGTCTGGAACACTTCCTTCCGGCTGGTGGTGCTAATTTCCATGGTGGAAGCCAGGGAGACTTTTGGGAGGTGGGGCTTAGCTGGTAAAAATAGGCTAGGGGTGGGACTTTGACAGTCTTCTTTGGTTCCAAATTCCTGTCTTAATCTCCACTTCCTGGTCTGCTGTGATGTGAATGGCCTCTATCACACAGCCCTGCTGCCACAGACTCACTGCTTTGTCAAATCTTCCCCACAACAACATATTGAAACTCCCTGAAACAGTAAGTCAAAACGCATCTTTCCTTCCTCTCTGTTTTTGTTTTGGGGGGGAGGACGTTGTGTAAGGGCAGTGTCAAGGTAACAGCGAGAGTTCAGAGGTGTTTCCTTCGTAGCTTCACTATTTTTTAATTAGTCTGCTTCTCTAACTCTGTTAGGTTTCTCTGCTCATAGTCTTGTCTTCCCCACAGCATCACATGCACACTGCACTCATGTAAGTTCACGCAGGCAAAGCAGGAGGTTCTCCTCTGAGGGTCTGCCCTGAAGGAGACAGGAGAGCAGAAAGAGACTGCGTATTCCTTCCGTGATGGCTGTCTGAACACCTGCCTCTTGCTTTATAGACTGCAGCTAGGAAGCTCTGTCTCCCAGGCTCCTGCAAGCCAGAAGATTCGCTGGTTGCTTCTTTAGAAACAGCTGCTTGATCACGTGCAGCATGCAGATACACCAGCTGTGCTGGATTATTAAGAGGGGGTCTAATAGCTGACACTGGGAGTTCAAATAGGCTCTTCAAGGGATCCCTGACTTTATATCATTTTCACCAGCAGCTCTGTGGCAGAGCCTGTTCCCTCACCTGCCAAGGATCCTAGTGGTTAGCCCTGGAATCAAGGGATTGGTGTCCAACCAGTGTCGGGAAGCAACAGAAGCAAATGCTTTCCCATGCTTAGAAATATGCTCTGCAGGATCTGCAAGGCCTTCTTTTCCTGCCTTGGTGACTCAGGGCTCAGTTCCCTGACACATGAGACCCAGCTAGCTTACCTGACACAAGAAGCATAAACCAGCATTGCATGCCAGGTTGGTAGAGACCCTGGGGTGTATTTGTCCTGGGAGCGGTGCTTGGCCTATCCTAACTGTAGGATCAACTTTAGAAGTTTCACCCTCACAACACGGGCTCCCATCTCTGTGTTTCTGAATGGCAGAGGAGTCAAGCACAGAACTTGGCCCAGAGTGCAAATAGTGGATTTAAAAAAACTCCAAAGTGACACAGAGTTTGGATCGAAATTAGTCTGTGCGACTCCCAAATCTTCCCCTCTTGTCCCATGTTGCCTTGTGTGAGCTCGCTCTACCTTTTCAACCACATGGAGGTACAGATATTACCTCTGAGCTGCTGAATCCTCAACGGTCATCCCTACTTCAGAAATGAGGAAACCGAAGGCCAATGAAGGGTGAGTGATTTAACCAGGTATTTGCATACAGTGGAGCTGAGACCTAAGCCCAGGTCTGCCTGTGGTCCACACCTTCTCTGGACCACACCCGCATACACTTTCTCCCTATTTCCTCCTCCTCTCTCCTTGTTATGATCATTATCGTCAGTGTTGGCAGCATGACTACCTGCAGGGACACTATAGGAAGAGGTGACACAGAGAGGCACAAGCAGGAGAGAAGCCTGCGTCACTTCGTGGCTTCTCTGTTACACTTACTTTGCTGTGGGCACAAATAGCTGAGCCCAGGAGCTTCCAGGTGCCACCCCTCCTGTCCATTCGAAGCATGCGCAGGATCTGCAGGAAGCGGAGGCTTCGCAGGGAGGTGGCCAGGACATTGCCCTGGTTTCCCACGGCAACCACCGGCACAGAGGCAATCAGCACGAAGATGTCTGGTAAAGAGGACAGACCGTGGCAGAGAACAAGGAGAAGGTCATGAGGAGGAAAGACACCATCATAAGCGCTCTCTGGGGACTGATGACCATGTGTCCAGCAGGGGCTGGCCTGAGCAACTGTGTTGAATTTGACATCAACCGCCAGTAGTAATGGATTGTGCTGTGGATGATGAGAAACAGTAACTCTAAGCACAAGTGACTTCCCAGGAGTTAGGGAAAGACCCCACTAGACTTCAACTCTGGCTCTAGAGCTCAGAGGTACAATTTCTTAAGGACCCTTGCGTGGCACTTGGCATTTGGTATCAGATGAGTTGTGGAGAAGAGGAAATTGGGGGTTGCTCAGGATAAAGAAGTGAAGTCTGACTCTCAGAGACTGTTTTAAGGTTTTTTTTTTTTTTTTCTGAGTAAGCAGGATATGGGAACTCGGGTATAATTTTTTGAGTGATTAGTCCAGGGGCACTGGATTTTTCCAGAATTGTTATATTGGGGTGGCATGGTGGTTTGAATGAGAATGGACACCCAGGCTCATGTGTTTGATTGCTTGGTCCCAGTTAGTGGAACTGTTTGGGAAGGATTAGGAAGTGCAGTAGGAGAGGGTTTGGCCTTATTGGAGGGTTGTATCACTTGGAAAGGTGGGCTTTGAGGTTTCAAAAGCCCACACCAGGCCCAGTTGCGCTCTCTCTCTCTCTCTCTCTCTCTCTCTCTCTCTCTCTCTCTCTCTCTCTCTCTCTCTCTTGCTGCCTGCTGCCTGCTGCCTGCTGTCTGTATATCAGGATATAAGCTCTTAGCTACTGCTCCAGCATTATGCCCATTACTGGGCTCCCAACCATGATGGTTATAGAGTAACCTTCAGAAACTGTAAGCAAGCCCCAAGTAAATGCTTTCTTTAAAAAGTTGCCTTGGTCACAGTGTTTCATTACAGCAACAGAATAGTAACTAAGACTGGTGGGATCTGCTGCTCACCAATTATGAAACTGGAAGAACTCAGTTTTGTGAACTTCACTTTCAATCTCTGTAAAACAGGCAAAAATGTGGTCTGGTCTGAGAGAAATGCACTCTCAGCCATCAGTGGTGTGGCACTTCCTGCCCCTGATGGCCTAGAAGACACAGGTGATTTAAGCTGTGAGTGAGTGTGCTACTAGTCTAGCAACCACTGGCACAGAGGCAATCAGCAAGAAGATGTCTGGTAAAGAGGACAGACTGGGGCCGTGAATGAGTGTGCTATTAGTCTAGGTACTGGAGATACACATTACCTGGTGCTCTGTGGCTTCTTTACAACCCAAATGCCAATAGTGAGCCCAGTCCCTAACTACTGAGATTCACTGCCCTTATCACATCTCAAGGAATAACCCCAGGAGATGGATAATGTGTCTCTGCATCCATACAACTTCCTTCTAGAAATAGTGTAGGGGAGGACTGAGGCCACCAACTGGACTCCATTGTCAGGGCTTACCCAACATGCACAGGGGCTTCCTGGCAAACTTCAGCCTTCCACGCCAGCCCTTGTATCGACAGCAACATCCGGCGGCCCATATTCTCAAAGCAAACTCAGCTCCAAAGATGAAAATAGCAAATGTTTCCTGTGTGGAAGAGCATATGGAGTGAGCTTACCCAGTACCCAGTGTCAGGACTCCTGAGATCGGAGGAACTGGGTTTCTGTGGCTGCTGCTCTAGTGGTGGGCATCCTGGGGCCAGGGAGAAGAAAAGGGGCAGGGGAGCCGCCTCTGTCCAGTTTTTAGGCACTCCTGTCTTCATCTTGGCACATGAACTATCCTGGCCAAACGAATCCGTGCCCATTTCTTTTCCAAAGATTCCATTCCAACCAATCATTCAGAGAGTCCCGTGAATTTACTACAAATCCCCAAGGAGTAAAGTCAAACACAGTCTGCCAAAGCCATCCAGACCCTGGCAGGACTAGCTGGCCAGTGTTGCTTGCCTTAGCTTTTGGGCCAGCCATTGCCTCAAGAGTTTCTTAGCAGCATCCTCGGTTTTTACATTTTGAGAAATCAAAGGATCAAGGTTTAGAATGGAGTACACCTTTAGGTGAACTTTTGGAGGGCCAGAAAGCTTTTTGTTATCACTTAAAACATGACGGTTTGGCTTGCACTTGTGTGCCCCTTGTTTCTGTCCAGAACAGTGGATGGTCATGAGGAAGTCCACACCTATGGCACACCTGGCCAGGCAAGGGAAGCACTGCTTTTTTTTTTGGACCTAGACTTGGCTAGAGATATTAGGAAGCTGCAGTCCAGGAGAACAGTTTCCAGAGGTTGACTCCCTACAGGTGCAAGTGGCCTAGCTTCCATCCCAGAGTACAGGGCCAATGGCCCATAGCTCACCAGCAGCAAAAGCCAGTCTCCAGACACAGTCTCGTACTCCTTGAAGGTGGTGAGCACTGCCAGAATCAAGCATCCCAGGACAATCAGAAACCTAGAGGGAAGGAAGAAGGAAGGAGGGAGCTTGAGTCCTGGCTGGTCCAGCAAGCAATGGCAAGAAAGGGTCAGTGAGGGCACTGGACAGTGTCACATGCTTCATAGATTACCCCATTCATTCCCCACAGCAATGATGAAGGTGGGAAAGACGATGAACAAGGCTGAAGAGGTTAAGCAAGGTGCACACTGTTAATTAACCAGCTACTCAACAGAATCAGTAATTTTGACTTTTTGATTTTTCGTGTCTTGGAACACATTTTCTGATCAACACACCTGATGATCTACCAAGCTAAATCTGCACCCCAAACTTTGTCTAGGAATTTAACCACAATCACCAACCCCTTCAATGTGTTAGGCCTTTTATTTGAAATGAATAACTCCCAAATCTACCAACTTGGAGCCCCAAATCCTCTTCTCAGGGGACAGTAAGGGTGATGGTGATGTTGATGATGACAAGACCAGCACCCCTCACCACTACATTTGGTCAGTACCTGTCACCTGTGATTTCACACATGCCAGTTCATCATCTTTAAAGTGACTCTCGAGGTCAACATGACCATCCTCCTGCTGCAGGATTTTTAAGACCAACATGATGTAAAATGTTAAATGCTTAGTCCTACAACACAAGACAGCAAACCAGCTCTGTGAAATTTGCCTTTAGTTGCCATTGAGCATGGAAGTGGATGCAAAGGTTGGGATAATGTATAAAGAGAAATGTGATGTTCCAAGCTGAAATCATGTGGCAGAAGTAGGAGCCTTTACTCAGGCTGTTACCCTCTTCCTCCATCTTGCATCTGGTAAACCTGGGGATGACTCCACAAGACATGCATGATTATTCTCAGTGAGTCATGCCCTTGTAATATTGCTTCGTCTGAGTACAAGCAGACCCCAAAACTCACTCCTCCTTTGCTTGCTTTCGTGTATGGCAAAGACCACTAGATAGTCAAGCCTGTGACTGTGGCACACTGCATGGATCCCCATCTACACAGAATGGAGCTAGAGAATCTCTTGCTGGCCTTGTAAAGGGCCTGTGGGGGCTGCATGTGGCAAGGAGCTGCTGTGGCTCATGAGGTTTCACCTCTGCTCCCAGTTCATGATATCATGAAAGTGGGATCTGCCCTACAACACCAAGATTGGTCATCAACCATCCAGAAAGAAACATAGCCCTCCCAAACATCAATTGCTGCTCTGTGAAGCTTCAGCATAAGACCCAATTGGACTACTGATGCTCAGAGACTGTGAGATACAGAGAGAAATGGTATCATGACAATTCACTAAGATAGCAGCAATTTGTTATACAGAGTGATAGAAAATTCAGTGTGGGTTTGGAATGTCCCAAGTGCATCTAACTTTCAGAGTTGCATCACCATATGGTCTAGATTGCTTGGCCTGTCACATTCCACTCCTGGACAGCAGAGAATGTACCAGCTCCTGTCTGTATCCAGTGACTACCTCATGTCTCAGCGCTCTAAGTAACCCACAGTTGCTTAAAGAAGTCATTGAAGCAACTTCAGTAATTCCCTGTTGCGGAAATCAAAGACACAGAAACACACACACACACACACACACACACACACATGCACAAGTACACACAGTATTTATGTATAACAGCCTTCCTTTATCTGTGGTTGCTTTTTGTGGTTTCAGTCATTCAATGTTAGCCTAGTCTGAAAATATTAAATGCAAACTCCAGAACCCAGCCATTGATGGATATTAAATTATTTTATTACAATTTATTACTATAAGTGTTCTACTTTATGTTGGTTATTGCCATTAATCTTTTACTGTGCTTACTTTGTAAATTAAGCTTTATCATAGGCATGCAGTATATATAGAAAAGTGTAGTATGAATAGTTTGGGTCTATCTTCCATTTGGGCATTCACAGGGCATCCTTGCACATATCTACTATGGACAGTGGAGACATCTGTATCTACACCTGTGGACAGAGTCAGCTCAACAAGGACTGTGGTCAGTGGTTGCTGTCATGGTTAGCAATAGAGGAGGGGTGAGGAGATAAGAGGCTCTGAAAGACAATCCTCCTGGCCTCAGCAGGACTGAAGAGGTTGGTGGGGAAGAGGAAAAGGACCACACTGAGAATCTTGTTGCTAGGAAATACTGAAAACAGATGGTCAAGGGGCTGTGCAGTAGCCTGGGACCCAAGAAGAAGAGAAGCTTCATGTGAACCTGCTAAATTTGAGGCCCAAGTGAAACT